AAAGAAAGGAGCCTCGATTCGATTCCTACATGTTATCTTTGGGAGTAATTTAAAAATCTTCATCATCTCTGACCCGCCCCGTACTTCAAATTAGTCTTGTAACTAGTTCAAAGAGTCAAAATTTGTGGGGATACCAAAGAAAACCAACTCGCCTCAAAGAGATAATTAGAGTTGAGTTAGGTCAAAAAATAAAATAAATTAGAAGAACGTGTTTCACGCTCTGAATATTTTATTTCCAATTTTTCTTTGTTATTTTTAATTTTAAATAAAAATACCTTAAAAATTTTGTTTATTTGTTATATTTTAAATATTAATTATTACTATTTTTTGTTTTTTTTTTGGTCGCTGGTTGCCTTTGTAGTTGCTAGTATTGTTCGAGAAAAAGAAAAGCTAACGTTAGTTTTGCCCAAAAATATCACGGATAAATGGGCCAGCCCAAGATTAAATGAATTCGATCCATTTAACTTGTGTTTAATTAATCAGACTAAGCAAAAAATAAATTAATTAAGTGAATAATTTTCAAAATTGAATCCACCAAATTTTAATAGGCAAACAAGTAGACTCGATCGCGACAGATTTATCTCATATTAACGACCTCTTTCATGAGGTGTTATTCTTTCAAGTTAAAAAGTAAAATAAAATAGCATAGTTTTTATAATAGAGATTAATTTGGGTGATAAGTATTACCTTAAAGCTAATTATATTAATTACAGTAATATAAACATGTTAAATTCATATCATAAATAAATAAGGGTAAGTATAAATAAACAAGTAATTAGAAAAATGAAAAAATAAATTAATATATATATTACAAACATGTAATGAATTTGTTTCTCATCATAATTATATTGGGAGAAAACACACACATTAAATTTCCAATACATTATGTCTTGAAACTATGCTACATACATAATTTTTTTCTCGTCATTTATTTCACTTCTTTTGCCAAGAACTTGCAAAAAAATTCATTATTTTAAGGAAAAATTCATAAATTTTACTTTCACAAAATAACACGTTCTACAGGTTACAGATGATGAATATCAAATGTGAAAGTCATTTGAATTACGGATTATTGTTAGGTGTATCCATATATGCTCCCAATATTTTAAGGAAACTGGTAACACCGCAAGATTCTTTAACCATCCCTGCTATAGTATGGAGAATAACTATTTTCCTAATCCTAGCAAGAGGCAAACCATTGGTGAGACCTCTGCGGGCTGAATGGAAAACTCAAATTCTAGTACAATGACCTTCGAAAGGGAAAGCAAAAATACTCGATTAATGTAACTCATGCAATAATAGAAGCTAGGGGAATAAACGTCCAATATTGATTACCCGTTAAAAGTAAAGTAACAGTACTCCCACTAGTGACGGACTTTCAACCATATATTAAAGCGCGAATATTTGGAAAATGTACATTATCTTATCTTAAGCTTACAATAAACTGAAACCTCTAAGAAATAATAATAAAAACTGAAAATCCATCTTTGACATCCACATGAATCCAATTCGTAAGGATGGAATAAGCTAATTCTGGTGATGGTTCATTAATTCAGAGGTGACAAATGAAATGGATCATCGACAAATCACCGAACCACGTGTGCGACTTTTGCTTCTGTCTAATGCTGAGCGGTTTAGATAGTTTAGATTACGTTATGTGTTGAATTTTTAGTTGTATATAAAAAAAAATACTCAACGTTCTGAACAGAACTCAATGTTCAGAAACTAAATTTTGTTACATGCATTGTATTTGGACGCTCTTTGCAAATTTCCAACGCTTACTTCACTATTTTGTTTCCTATTTCTCTCTCTCTCCTGCAGTATATACGTACAGTGAGGATTAAGAGTGTAAATAGGCTGAACTTTGACTTAAATATGCTAGGTCTATGTAAAAGACCTTATGTTTAGCCTGACCTGTTAGTTTGTGTAGGCCCAAATTACAAGTCTGGTCTTACTTATATTTAAAAAATAAAAGTCTAGACCTAGGTCTCTTAGTCTGTTTAAACATATTAAACATTCAACAATTAAAAAAATAACTAAAGTAATATTATTTTATTATTTAAAATTATTAAAATAATAATTTTATTTATTTTATTTAAAATAAATAATATGATATAAGTGACCTGTGAATTTATAGGTCCGACATATAAAAAAAAACCTATGACTTATTTTCTAAATAGATTTTAAAAAAAATCTAGATCTATTCTATTTGATTATTTGTAATAAGTCAAATTTCACCTAATATAAATTAGCTCATAGACTCGTATAAGCTACCCTAACCCATTTATCAACATGCACACTCTCATGACGAGGTTAAAGCCGCGATTGCCTTCGAGGCTCGGAAGACATAGTTAGTGTCTTGGTGATATGAGATCCCTATTTTCAACGGTATACGATATACCACCTTTTTTTTAAAAAAAAAAGCATTGACTAATGTATCAAAAAAAAAAAAAAAAAACATATATAGACTAAAATGATCTAATCTCTAGAATATAAAAAACCTGTCAAACTCAGAAATTCCTTACTCTTTATCTTGTTCTTCTATCTAACTTTGGTCAAACATTTATGGAAGACTACTTTAGAAGATAAAAACCCATTTATGGAAGACCACTTCTACTACTCTCTGTCGATGTCAACTAATTGACATCTTCAAAACTTCTCCTTTCAATTTGTTCTTGCAGTAAACTTGTTCCCCTAAACTTCTCCTTTTTAAAGAATAATGTCACTGCACATATATTATTTTATTCATGCACAATATTTTTTTTTAATTACTTTTACTTTCACTTCATTTTATATAAATTCACACCCACATTCCGATTCTTTCAACTCATATGACGATGAATATACACTTATAGCATTTTTCCTTTCTTTTTTGAAGAGGAAAAAAAAAAGAAAAAAAAGAAAGAAAGGAAAGTTTTCCTTTCTAAAATAATGAATACACTGAGTTGACCATGCCGCGGTTTTGACACCAAATGGGAATCGAGGATGAGGAAGTCAGACGTTGACAAGTTAACTTCATTTTCCCATTTACAAAGCACTCTCTTGCAGACATTGCGGACTGGATTATTATTTTGACGTTTTAAGACGATTATATATTATCTCTACACCGTTAGGCCGTGTGTGTTACGCGAAATTTTGGAAGATTCTCGGGAAACTGAATTAATTTAAAATTTAAATTTTCGGGTATTATTATAAACTGAATGTAAAAATCATATTTTTGAAAATCAAGATTCTCGAATAAATAAAAATTTCTCCTGTACCAAACGCATTTATAAATTAATCCACAAAATCGACTCAATTAATATCTATCGGATTTCTTCATTAATATATCACACCCATCATTATCAAATCTTATTTAAACATTTGAATTAATTTGAAAAAAAGCTAATTGGTTCAATTCCTAAGCTAACGCAAATATTTTTCTTTACTATTCTTTAGCACTACTCTAGGTTTTGATTATCGCAAATTCAGATTCATAACGTACCTTATGCATGCATACATGATAATCTATCCATAAAATAAGTTTTATAATATATACACATTCATAAATTGAAATTTATAATATGCATGTATTTATTGTTATTTATAAAGCAAAAATACATATATTGCTATGTTATAAATGCATCACAGACTCGTGATAACAAACTGGACTGGTCAGTTTGATTGAAAAAGTCAGCGAATTCACCAAGTTTATAATCCCACTCATCTTGAAAAATTAAATGATCAAATAATTAATTAAATTGGCCCAAACTTAAAGGAGAAACGATTTTCTTTATTTTTTTAATTCAATCAAAAAAAATTTAATCAAATAAAAACCAAATGTCAAACTTTAGAAGTTCAAGTATAAATTACTATTATTCAACCTCTTATTTGCACAACATAAAATATAATTTTGTACATAAATTTAAAATTTTATCTAATCAATTTTTTATGAATTTGTATGAGTTTATCATTTAATATTAAAAAATACATTTAATTTTTATCGGTTCAACCAGAATTAGTTACGGCCAGAGTAGTAAACCGTGAGCGAATGTTTTTACTAGTTTAATCGATGCTATAATAACTTGAATGCATCTAATTCAGATCAATGCATCTTTGATCAGAAAAAAGTTTAACTGAAATGAATTTGTTTATCACATGGTGCCTTAACACATTAAAAACTCCAAGTAGAGTTCAGCTTGAGTATCTAGAAGTGTAGGGGCTCTATAAATTTTCTCCTTTTTTGTTGTTCAGCATATATTTTGGCAGAAATACAATAGGGGAATATGGCATGCTTGCAGTGAATGCTTCTTCTGACTTGTTACGTAATTAACTGTATATATTATAAGTTAATTAAGTGACTCATGGCGTCATGTAAATGTAATTGAATGTTCTGGTTTCAGTTTTAAAGCAATTAAAATTCACAAATGTTATTATAAAACATAACACAAAAACAAGATTAATATTCTTCTTTTGAGCTTCAATAGGTACCCCTCTTGTCAACTTTTGGCTTATAATTGGTTGATAAACATAGACGAATTCAAGTAGCGACAATGACAGTGGATAGACAGCACGTACCCTACGAATTAATTTAAGACTAAATACCATTTTGGGTCAGCAAATTTCACGATGCCTACTTTAGTACCTAGCAAAACAAAAAAAGCTATTCGTATGGACCCATTTTAGTCCTGTTGAGGGGCTAATGTTGGTCTTTTTTGAATTTGTGAGGAACCACAATTTTAACTAAATGGGTCCATTTTGAATTTCTTAGAAATCACGAATAACTTTTTATTTGTTAGGGACTAAAACCGACATCGTAAAATTCGTTGAGGACCAAAAAGTGTATTTATAAAAGAGAGTTGTTGAAAACCATTAAGCTCTTTGACCTTTTCCACTCTTTCATCAACGAACCTTCGTTCCAATCTTCAAACTAGTGAATTTTTGGTCCTATAAATATCACAAATGCAAGGAACACTTCACACAACATTTCAAAGGGAAAACCCGAACCCACTTTTAGAAAGATGGCAAAAAACTCTCATAATGCTTTGTCTCTTCTCCTCCTTCCCCTTCTCTTCCTCGCTCTTGTTGGAACCTCTCATGCTGGTGGCATAGCCATCTACTGGGGCCAAAACGGAAACGAGGGAACCCTATCTGAAGCATGTGCCACTGGGTTATACACTCATGTAAACATAGCTTTTCTCAACAAGTTTGGCAATGGCCAAACCCCTGAAATGAACCTTGCTGGTCACTGCAACCCTGCAACCAATTCTTGCCAAAAGTTTAGTGCAGACATCAAGGATTGCCAAAGCAAAGGAATCAAAGTGTTGCTTTCTATTGGTGGTGGAATTGGAAGCTACTCTTTATCTTCCCCTGAGGATGCTAGAAACGTTTCAAGATTCTTGTGGAACACTTTCTTGGGTGGCAAGTCATCTTCAAGGCCATTAGGGGATGCTGTGTTAGATGGCATAGATTTTGACATTGAACTTGGTTCCACAGCAAACTGGGAGCACCTTGCACGCTTTCTCAAGTCATATAGCCGTAAAGGAAGAAGGGTGTACCTAGGTGCTGCCCCTCAATGTCCTTTTCCTGATGAATTCTTGGGCACTGCCCTTAACACAGGGCTATTTGACTTTGTTTGGGTTCAGTTCTATAATAATCCTCCGTGTGCGTATGCTAATGGTAACATAACTAACCTTGTGAATTCATGGAACCGGTGGACAACTTCAGTGCCTGCAAGCCAGATATTTTTGGGCTTGCCGGCAGCTCCGGCGGCGGCTGGCAGCGGTTACATCCCTGCTGATGTGTTGACGTCTCAAATCTTGCCGGTGATCAAGAAGTCACCGAAGTATGGAGGGGTGATGCTGTGGTCAAGGTTCTTTGATGGCCAGAATGGGTATAGCACTTCCATCATTAGCAGCGTGTGAAGAGTCGTACTTTCTATTAATCAATGATTTCATTTTATCAAGTTGTGATTTTAAAATTAATAATTAAGAAAAATAATAATATTGCACCTTGGAAAGTAGTGCGTTGCTACCTGTAATTGTGCTTCGTGCGCGCACATGAATATTGCACAATCAAGAAGTTTGAAAGAGAAAAAAAAAAAAACAATGGAAAACAAATGTAGTTTTATTCTCTTTAATATTAATTTATTATATAAAGAATTTGTCCTTATTTTAAACTCAGTTAAAAGTATTTTAAAACAAGTTGGACACCTAAAGAGCTTATTTTCTCTATGCGACTCCAGCTTCATTAGCGGCTAGTCTTGATTTTGAACCTTTACGATGGACTTAGAGTTTAGAAGATCAAATAAAAAAAATTGAGTAAGGTTTCAAAACTGAAAATAAAAAACTATATTTCATCTTTTAAAGTCCTAAGATTGATAATATAATATTCAAAATTAATTATTGTCGACACTGAAAGTTGCAAGAAGAGATAGAAAAAAATTTCCTCAATAGACTCGTTCATAATTACTCATTATCAGTAACAGGTTCGTTTACATTAAAATTTCAATGACATATACTAACATCTATCCGTGCTAAATGTAGAACCATAGAAAAGTTTACAAAAAAAAGAATAAGAATAAGAACAGGGCAATAAATGAAGAAAAGCTGAAACCTAAGAAGCAAACAAACAACCAAAAAGCAAAATGGGCACCAACCCACCAAAGGGGAGCATGCTCTTGTAAAATTAAATGCAGTGTGTCCTGAAAGGCTGAAACTTAATCCGTGGCCACTCTCCACCTTTCTTTATGTTTACACTGTTCGGACCTGGATATTGTGTGTGGATTGGAACCTCCATATGGGTTTCCTGCCACTTTGTACAAGTGCTACTTCTTCTCCTGCTTTAACCATTCCTTGCTTCTGCGTATGGAAACAATACGTATGATTATGAAGAAACTAAAAATGAAACTGGGAATATTAGGACAAGTTTCTGTTTAAGCAGTTATGTGAAGCATTTTGGCGTCAAGAGAATCTATTAAATAACTGGCATCCCGGGCAACAAAATTTAGCCATCAGATTCCATGTGTGTATGACAATAATTTCGTTTCATAACCACAAACTTAACCAAGCAAATTTTATAGTCCAATTTCAATACAAGTTTAACAATCCTTTTAAAAAGCAATTGGATACCCAACTCTTGCTAGTCACTACTTGCATAACGCAAAAATATGAAGTCTAATGGTTTAGTTCTAATAGAATCAGTCGACATTTCTTTTAGTAAGTGCGAGATGAAGCATTTGCTTATATACCAGCAGAAAGTAGTTCATATAAAGCATAAAGGTCCGCGGTCAAAGTATTGCCTTTGCATGCATGGATAATATGAGGGTGAGAGGAAAACTGTGTTAGAATTTTAAAACCATTTAAACAACTATGGTTATGGCTTCTATAGGTAACATCTTAATCATTGAAGATATCCTCCAAACATTACCTGCAGCATATCCAAGGCTCTCGTAAAAGTGTCTTCAGCATCATCAGAGAATTCCATGTAAATTGGACAGACTCCTTGATACAAAGCCAGCCTCTGTCGTATCCTCTTCCTGCATGGCCAATAAAATTAGATAGATAACAAAGCTGTCCTAGTTATATTAAGGGCAGATAAATACAAATTAGTTATCAATTGAATACATACTTCAATAAAAGAAATCAGTTTCATTGGTTTAGTGCTATTTTATACAGCTTCTGAAAAAAAAATCGTCACGAACATTTGAAGTAGCTGATTCATTAGATTTATCTGCCAACCTTAGGATTCTGGAAATCATATTTTATACGATCACTAATCAATCGGTTTTATTTGTTACTAAGCATAGATATCCAACCAAGAAAATGATAAAACTAATTAAGAGAAAATATGCATAAAATATAACCCAATACATCTTAGAAGAATCTCTTAAAGGCAATTAGGCACACATGCAATTGGCTACTGATTAAATTAGTCTCATGTTCATCTAGTATCTTCTGTTTTTTTTTTTTTTTAAAGTTTTATTATCAATAAGAGAAAGGGAAAAAAGAACTCACTGATCTGTAAAAGCAAAGATGGTGCCTGAAGGTCGATAATGGCTCAGCAGGATAGCCATGAAGCCCGATCTAGTGAAGACAACAGTTGAGGTTCCTAGGGTATTAGACATCATGGTTGCATGGCATGCAAACATCTCGCTCATGTGGTTCTACATACAACCAAAATAAATAAATCACACATTTCAGTGCCAATAGTTAAATGAGGAGAACACGATGATTAAACAAAAAGTTAGCATGGCAGTGAAACGCATCAAGTTTAAAGTTTCAACCTTGAATACTTGACCAATATTAGGTGGCATTTGACCACCAGCTATGGTGGCTTCTGTCCGTAATGCTACTGTGTGCATTACTTTTACAGCTTTTAGTGGGAACCTGCATTATAATAAATTTAATCATTATTGTCACATTCAGTGAATACTCTTGCTATCGATTTGTCTTCTAAGTCACTAAGATTCTACTGTTACTAATGAGTAACCAGATATTGATTCTCAAGTATGCAAAATCACAGTTATATACCGTCAACAATGCACATCTTTAAAATATAAACTTTTAAGGCTACCAATTTGATTGTCATATTTCCTTTCCTTTGTAAAAAATCAAATAGGATAAATATCAATCTGTCAAAGTAATTGGACACTTCAGAGGCTGGGTGTTATTTACTTACTTTCCGTGGGCAGTTTCTCCAGAAAGCATTATTCCATCAGAACCCTCTCGTACAGCAATTGCAATATCAGATACCTCTGCTCTGGTTGGTGTTGGGTGAACAATCATGCTTTCCAGCATATTTGTTGCCACAATAACAGCCTTTCCCATGCTACGGCATATCCTGATTATCTCTTCCTACATTAGCAGGCATTATGGATGTTAAGATGAGCTCTATCCAGTTAAGGTAGAATTTGGTTGCAATTTAATTATGAAGAATTTACATCCAACTGAAATTAGATAATAGAACTTAAATTTAATTAAAATTTGATTTTGTTTTAGTCATCTCATTCTTAAATTTGTTTATGATTTAACATTAATTAACTACATTCTTCTCCTGATTTCTTACTTGTGACATTTATTATTACTTAGATAACAAATACCGACAGAGTCTTTTAATTAAGATGAGCTGAAATTGATGTCGAGTTAAGGTAGCAATACCAACTGATAAATATCTTTGCCATTAATCTCAGTTCTGTTTAAAAGGACTTTACCTGCAAAAGTGGAACCTCCTCAATAGGGAGCTCTGCACCAAGATCTCCTCTTGCAACCATAGCCTAAACAAGATGGCAAAAGTAGAGAGGTCAACATCAACAATCAGTAAACAAGTGTGCCACAAACTTAACCCATAACCCCTAAGCAAAATACATTCAAAATTAAAGATTTCTGATTTTACAATATGCGCTAAATCATCCCTTTTCCCCAGTATCAGGCAGTAACCATAACGAAATAATGCAAGGATTAAGTAAGCACCCCATCAGACGCTGTAATAATTGAATGCAAGTTTGGTATAGAGTCCGCACTTTCAATTTTTACGATGACATGTATATCAGCATCACAGCCTGCAGTATTGAGCGGGAAATTTATCATATTTATAAATACAGGAAAAATTAATCAGATGTGTATCTTAAATATTTACTTTTCAAATAATTCTTCAGTTCATGAACTACTTGTGCATCCTTAACAAAGGAAACAGCATAGAAGTCAACTTGGTTATCCACTCCAAACTTAATGTCGTCCCAATCCTTCTCTGCACGAAATCAATATGAATATTAGTTCTTGGGAAACCACCATAACCTCAATCCACACCCAGACGAGCAGACACAAAGTGGCATGCAGAAACCATAAAACAATTAATAAAAAATTGCCAATAATAGGAATAATAATCCAAAATCTAACCAGTGATGGAAGGCAGTGTTGCACTTTTTCCTCTAACATTCAAATGTCTCCTTGACTTGAGTTCTCCTCCATCAACAACTTCACATTTCACAGAATCCTCTGTCTTAGACTTAACCACCAAAGACATCATACCACCTACATCATTCATCACGAGACAGAAGATCACAAAAGACAGCATAACACCAAAGGCAATAGCATATATCCAAGACTTGGTATTGACTCTTTCTAAGATAAATAGGCAATAATAAATCATCACTGACAAAATTACTCCCGTATCTGCCGATTTATCAATCGACGAATACAACATAAAGTTGGTAGTAATTTGAACATTTTAACTGATCAGTTGGTTGCCATACCATCAACAAGAAGCATATCCCCCACTTCCACATCATTGACAAAATCATCATAGTTCACGCTAACACAATCTGCAGTTCCAACACCTCTCCTGATAGTAAAAGTGAATTCCTGCCCACTTGTTAACATGATTGGTTGTGGTAAATCCCCGCTCCTAACCTCAGGACCCTGAAAACACAGAAAATGAATTATCAGCTGACACAAAAACAAAACTGTGATCACGAAAATGTAATATTAAGAAAGTAGCTTTAGAAAAAACTGAAGAATACTTGAAGGAAGAATTTACCTTGGTGTCAAGCATAATTGCAATTACATTGTCCTTGTTTTGCGCATTATATTCTTTAACCAAATCAATAACTTTCTGATGAGAAGCATGGTCTCCATGAGACATATTCAAACGGGCAACATTCATCCCAGCCTCAGCTAGCTTCCAAATCATTTCCCTTGTGTTGGTAGAAGGACCAATGGTACAAACTATCTTTGTCTTTCTCATAACTGTGGGCTTGGACCACATTCCAACAGAAGTGTCACCAAGTTGCTGCATACCACGCATGTGCTGCAACTCCTCCTCAATCTATTCACCACAACACGAAAAAAAGGGTTACAACAATTTTCTCAATACCTGGCAACCACCATATACTTCAATTTTAGCATCTGGGTCCTTCCCAAAATTTCAAATTGCAGTAAGAGAAACAAAAAGCACGAACCTTTGAATCATCCTCGGGTGAGACGGGGACAACTTTGGCGGGTGCAGATTTCCTTGCATTGATGAGGCAGCTTCTGGAGCTGACTTTGGGGGTATTGTTCCACTGTGGCAGGAACACTTTGGAAGCAAAAGTTGCAGGCTTTAACAACGTTTGAGCCCTGTCGTGTGAAGATCCAGTGGTGGGGTGCAAGAGGGAGGCGTGGATGGATCGAGTGGCTACTACCTGAGCCATTGCTGCAGAGAGAGAGAGAGTTGAAAGGTGATGAGAGAGAATGAGGTGAGGTGTGAAGAATAGAAGGAAAGAAAAGAGAGTGAAATTGAAGGTTTGGAGAAACCGCCGTTATATTGGGGCGGAGGTTAAGAGACAAATATAAAGTGGGAGAGACACAACACAAGACACTCTCTTCGTTTGTATCGAATGGACCAACAAATGAATTCCTCTTTAAACTACGCTGTTGAAAGTAGTTGGATGCATCCTGCGACGTCGTTTTTGGTTTTGGAGTTTAGTCTTCTGGGTATTTTTTCTCTCTCTAAAAAATAAGGCAATACTCATTTTCCATGCTTTGCAGATAAAGCTATACCTTATATAAGTAAGTTACGTTTTATGTCTGCATCATTAACAGCATTGGAGACTTGGAGTCAATATTTGCCATGGTTTACCAATGCAATGAGCTTACACCAAACAGTACGAAAACATCATAAAAGAGTATGTAATAAAGGATTCGCTTTTTTCTGCACAAGATAAGTTATTTGTATTAAGTTTAAGTAAGTGTAATATGACATCGTTTTGGAATGGGTTTTTATCATTTTAATTTATTTCAGAGTTATTATAGTATTTATAATTATAATGTTTTAATATTTCAATCTCAAAATGACGTCGGAAATCATGCTATTTTTATAATTTTAATTTATTTCAGAGTTATTATAGTATTTATAATTTAATTTTTAATATTTCAATCTCAAAATGATGTCGTTTTGAGAATAAACACAGATAATTTATCTGCATTAACTGCATAAATATTTTCCTAATGTAATAATTATTAGTTTATTACTCAACGAGAAAAAAAAAAGTTTACATTTTTGATTCAAACTAAAAACCAAGATGCAGTTGAACTTAAAATCACTGTTGTCAGACCCGACCCGGGCATCGACCCGGTCGGAGTACTGGGTTATTGGGTCACTGGTCGGACCGGTTGATCTGGATATCTTTATAATAAATATATAAATTTAAAATATTCTCTATTCTAAAACAGATAAACAAGATCTATTAAATAAGCTCAAAAAATACCATATCACATTATTACAAGTTCAAACTTAATCAGTAAATTGCACAAAATAAGAACAAATAAATGAAACTGCATGCTATCATTATGCCCATAGTGCCAAAGTTGTGTCAATTACCTCTCTTTCTCCACCAAACTCATATAAATCTTGACCAACATTGCTTGCATTTTGGTATGTAATTTTCACATTGTGTACATCTGCATCATTATCCTCGTACTCGTCCAAATTTAATTGAGAGTAAATATTTTTTTCGGTCCTCAGCAAATTTTACGATGCCCGTTTTAGTCCCTAGCAAATAAAAAGGCTATTCGTGGTCCCTAAGAAATTCAAAATGGCCCTATTTTAGTCTTTTTGAGGAACTAATGTGGGTCTTTTTTTAAATTTGTGAGGGACCACGATTTCAACTAAATGGGTCCATTTTGAATTTCTTAAGGATCAAGAATAGCTTTTTTATTTGTTAGGGACTAAAACAGGCATCGTTAAATTTGCTGAGGACCAAAAATGATATTTACTCTTTAATTGATCTATGACAAATAAGTTTTTGTAAGTTACTGAAAAAACATTAAGTGATCAAACAATGGTAGAGAAAAATTTGGAGAAAATATCAAACAAGGGTAGAGAAAAACTGAAGAAAACTAAGGTGATGTTTGGTTGAAGGGAAATTTTTATGAATAATAGGGAAATGAGATTAGTAGGGAAATGGCTGAAAAGTGAGTTTGGTAGGGAAATGTAAAAAAAGTTGTTTGATATGAAAATAATTTACCGGAAAAATTAGGTAACTTTTGTAAAGTCTATGTTTTGGCTTTTCATAAAATATAGATGGGGAAATAATGTGCTACGACGAAAATACCCTTGTTTTTGGAACACCGGCTTACATAGCACCAGAGGTTCTTTCTAGGCGAGAATATGATGGAAAGGTACTCTATTTGCTCCAAATCGACTAGGTTCTTTAGAGTTCCGTGCATCTGATTTATTTATATATCATCTTTCTAGCCTGCTGCATGTCACCAGAAGCTTCTTTTTTGTGTGTTTGTGGACGGGATTGGCAGGTGGTATTTATTTTATAATCAAACATGTACTCATCACTAGTTGTGTTGCTTTGTTGTTCTTCTAGCTTTCATGTTCAGAGTGTGGAGGACGTAATGAAAATTGTGGGAGAGGCAAGAAACCCACCTCCAGTATCTAGGCCTGTCAAAGGTTTTGGTTGGGAAGGTGAAGAAGATGAAGAGGTAAAGGGTATAATCACAGGGTATAATGGTCTCATTTGTTGTGGGGCCATGTGGTTTACCCATCTTTCTTTGAAAAAAACCACCTCATACAATGCATTTTGAACAGTGTAGAAGCCTAGCAAAAGGGCACAAATTTGAAATTGATATGCATCATAAATGCCTGGGTGTTCAGCCATTCCTCTGTGAACCAAACACATGATTTTCAAAATGCTATCTTCATTTGCACGAGGTTTTTTCAAAAACCCATCAACCAAACACCACCTAAAAGACTAAAATATTCTACCTTTGTCCATGTATATGGGTAATAATATGCCAATTTTGGTAATCCCCCAATGTAGTTACTAATATCGAATTCTATAGGACATGCAGAAAAAATATATTCAATTGTTGATTTTCTTATATTATATTTGTTGATTTTTCAGCCTCATGCTTTGTGCTCACTGCTCAATATGAAGAGCTGAACAAAATTTTTTGGGACTTTGGGACCCTGCTAGTTCACATAATACTCTGAGCAATGCTGACTCTCTTATGATTTTCATTAAGTTTGGCTAGAGATAAATGTTGAAAAAGATACCTATTTCATAAAGAATTTCAAAGAGAGAACAACAACTAGGGCCTCCCGTTAATCAAAGAAATAAAGGGTCCTCTTGAGGGTTTCCTTGTGACTCGATGAAGTAATAGATAGTTCAGAATCGTTCACGCTTATGTATCTGAACATATATTAAAGCAATCAACATTTTTCTTCAGAAGAGGTGAGAAGACGGACCTGTGAAAACGAACAAAGATGAATTTTATTCTTTTTACATTTATGGCTTAGGTTAGGGATTTCGCTGGTGAGACGACATGCCTATGTTCTTTTAAGGGAGTTTGATTTTTTTTAAAATTTTGAGTATTTGACCCGCACCGGTTCACAAGACCCAGAGGGCCAACGGGTTCCGTCCAAACCTGACCGGGTCGTACTGGGCTGATTGCATGGCCGGTTCAAACTCCAAAGTGCAACCCAAACTGGTTACTCTACCAGGTCATCGAATCTCAAGTCGACCCGCCCGAGTCGGATCGGGTCTTACAACAATGCTTAAAATTATTTTTGTTGAACCATTTTTGGCTCTTATAAAATATTAAAATGGAACTAAAAAGAGAAATAAGGCAAGACAGACAACAAAAGAGAAACCGAAGACTAGAGGGATAGAGAAGACTAGAAGAATTGAAAGGAAATTCCAATTCATTCTTCTATACACCCATATAAAGCACACTGATTTTATAACTCGTTTAGGACAATGATTTTAAACTTTTTTCTAGTGAAATATTTTGTCACTTCAGTGTGCAGCACAATCTGCACTATGCCCAAATTTCGGGTTTTTTTTATCTCGGACGATATGGAGTGAATATGGGGAAGTTTTACTATTCCTACAACTAAATTATTATTTGATTAATTTGAAATTAACCGGTGAAAAAAAAAATTAATTTCTCTGTTGTTTTAAATTAATCAGCAATAATTAAAGAGAAAGTAAGAATGGTAAACTTAAAATGGTAATAATTCCCATATATATAACCGTTCCCATCAAATTTGTCACTTTTTATTTTTACTATTTTAAAACTTATTTTTTCAGTTAAAAAATGTTTTTTTTATCTTGTAGATAAATTATCCAATTCTGTCCGTGGAAAATAACCGTGTTTTTTTTTCAGCTCTTTAATGTTAAGATTATCATGGCCGACTAATAATTTAAACTATTTTCGACGCTTTTGAAAAATAATTGCATCAATGTATGGTTGATTTTGATTATTTTTTAAGAAAAATATATTTTTTTAAAGTGTAATAAATTTTTGATAATAAATTATTTTCAATGTAAAATAAATTAATCCAAATATGCATTAAACACTAATAATAATTTATTTTTTAGGCATGCAATAAAACAAATTCGGACGGATATAATCAGATGTTAATCACGTTTAACCATTTTACCAAAAGAAATAAAGTACGTTTAACCAAATTTATCAATTTTCATGACATTTCCAAAACATTTGTAACGATTTGCGAAACAGAAGAGTCACATTAAAATAATTAGAACTAGTCAAGGGAGTATATTTTTGTTGATTGTGATATTTACTTGTTCTTAAAACTTGAGGGACAAAAAATGTGATTAAAACTATTAATATGTTTTTGTTTTGACTTTTAAAAAGAAGTTATTTTTTTTTGAAAAAAGTTTCTTAACAATTTTTTAATGGGAAATACTATTGTCAAATTTCACGAAAATAATTCTCTCATATTATAGAGATAAGTCAATTGGAGCTCACATTAAAAAGAGAAAAAAAAAAAAAAAGAGATGGGGTGATCTTTAAAGTAAAAAAACAGGATATAATTATCTCATATTATATGAGAATAATATTTTTTTAAAGTAATAAGGGCGCGTTTGGTACGCGACTTGTTTATGAAACCACGGGAAAACGAAGTAGCGGAAAAAAGTCTTCCACGTTTGGTAGCTAAGATCTTCAAAGCTGCTAGGTCAAATTTGTTTTTGGAAAATCTTCTTGTGTGTTAACTTATGTACGGTCTGACAAATTGTAAATCCATAAAATTTGTGGAAATGTTGGCTGCCCTAGGAAGGAAAATTAAAGCGCGAAAAAGTAGACAAAATTGACCTTGTGAGGACATTCTAGTAAAATACTATATTTCGATAATAATTATTTTCCGCATAAAAAAAAAATTCTTGTATCAAATGCCCCCTTAAAATATTCTCTCATTTTTGTTGAATGATTTTGTTATGTTAAAAATTTATATATACACACATATTTGGTAGATGTTCATAAATTTTGTTTGAGTCCACTTATTTAATATTTATATTAAATAAATACAATTTTTTTGACGTAAGACAAAAACTAGCGAACTAATACTCGGAATAGTGACTAAAATGTCATTGTCCACCAAGTTTTTTACTCAAATGTCACGTGAATAATGCTATTTTCTAATATGTCACATGGACAAGTTCATTGGACACCGTAGCGAACTCAGTTTACTGATTTGTCACGTTTATGATGGACACTAAATTCGCTATATAGGATAGCGAATTTGGTTGCAAGCACAAATGGAGGTTAAAAATTGAGAGCAAACACAAATACCAAATTGCAACCAAATTCGCTACACCAGGAAGTGAATTTGGTGTTAATTAGAAATGTGACACATCATTAAACTGAGTTCGCTACAATGCCCAACAAACTTACACACGTGACATATTGAGAAATAATACTATTCAAGTAACATTTGGATAAAAAATTTGGTGAACAGTAGAGTCGGCAAAACGGGCTCAGCTTGGTGGGCCAACTCGCCAAACGGGGCGGGGCTGGTTGAGTTTTTCAACCATCTCAAAAGCGGGGCGGGCTCATTTTTTGGCGGGTCGATGGCGGGCATAGGCGAGCCGAGGCGAGTCAGTGTAAAATAGGCTCGGGCTAGCGGGCCAACCCGCTCAACCCGCCAAACGAGGCGAGACGGGCTGAGTTTTTCAGCCCACTTTCAAAAGCGAGGCAGGACAGGGTAACTCATTTTTTGACGAATTGATAACGGGGCGGGCCGCCCACTTTGCCACCTCCAGTGAAAACTCAAACACAACATGATAATTCGTTTTTAAAGCCCAATACATATGAAACAAAACGGCAGTGTTTCCCACTGAAGCCCTCAAAAAACGCGGGAAAAATTTCCGCCACCTTTCAACTCAGCTCAACCTCACACTTTCTCTTAGATCCCAAAAACCCCATCGCTCTGCAACTCCGACACCAAAAAAATCCCCCAATTTTCTGGTTCACACAAGACCCTCGCGAGCCATCAAACGAATCCCCAACAACATGGACACGGAAGGGTTATCCCTAATCTGCGGCGGTCTCGGAACCATCGAAGAGGACGAAAGAGGCAACCGAATCGGTTACTCCAAGAATGAATACTGTCTCGGTATGAATCTCTTTCATTTCTGATTTCGCCCTTTTCTTCTCGATTCGATTCGGTGAAAATTTCCGGTTCCTTATTATTGGTCATATTACGTTACGGACTTGCCAGATAACCTGAAAGACTTGCTGAGGTTTCTGAGACGCGACGACCCGCAAACGCGCGATGTGTTCAAACAAGTGTGTAAATGGAACATCGTTTCCAAGGACTTGATACCGATCATCGAGCACTACCACGAAGATCGCAACTTGCTCTTGAATGCAGGTTTTTTTTTTTTTTTTTTAAATTACTTGACTTTACATAAATAATACTGATGGAAGCGTGTTTGGGATTTGATTGATTGGTCTTTGTTGAGTTTTTTTTTCAGTGAAGGTTCTGGTGTTCCTTACAATGCCTATCGAGCCTGATTCGACCGATATCTCTCAGCAGTTGGAGTATTTGTGGGGTTTGAAGTCTGCGGTGACGAGCAGTGATGTTGCTGCAGTGATAGTGTCGTTTCTAGAAAGACCACTTGAGAATTTGGAACGGTGAGTGGGTCAGAACTGCTTTGTATTCTTCAGCGTTGTCGAGTATGACTGAAAAGAAAGTAATTGTAAAAATCAATCGTTTGTGTCGTTATATTTATTTATTTTTTGATTATTTTTTTAATTGTTTTGTATACAGTGATGCATTCACCGAGGATGATTGGAAATTGATACAGCTAGTGCTTACATTATTCAGAAATATCCTAGCTGTTCAAGAAATCCCGTTGCAGCAGAAGTCAGGGGGATTTGCTAGTCAGTTTTTATCGCTGAGAGATAGATTTCTGGAACTTTTGTTCCGTGAGAATGTGATGGATATAATCTTGGTTATATGTCAATATGTTGGTGGTTCTAATGTTTATCTCCGTCAGGATAACTTGCTTCTACTGGAAATTTTCCATTACATTTTTATGGGTCAGGATCCGGAGCTGATTGTTAGGACCCATTTGAAAGGATTAAAGGTTAGCCCTCTCAACATGACCAACATCCTTTTTTGTCAAGCTGGCCAGGAGCACTCTATTAATTTAGATTATTCTTTATAGAAAGTGTTTTAATATAACTTACAAGGTTTTGTTGGATGCGCGATGATTTCTCTTTCAATCTGTCACCTCTCTAGTGCTGTTATATATTATTCTTAGGTTCTGTTTTGTTTGGTCAATTACATTTTGCAAATTTTATTTTAGGTGGATGAAGACTCCCAAGCTTCTCTTAATAGTCTCCAATCCATTATGGAAGAAGAAAAGAAGAAGAGAAATATTTGCAGGCTCAGCAATATGAGTCGGCATTCGCAATTTAGTGGAACATTTGTACGGCTTACAATGGTATTACTTTTTTTGTCATACGGATTAGCTTTTATCATAGTGGACTTGAATGACACCAGTTAACTCTTTTTGGTAGGATGGTTCTAAGGCAGTATTTAAGGGAAATCCTAATTCTTCTCGTAATGCGCTGCTTAAATCACAAAATGTCAGCCGGGGTCCTGCCAAAAAAATTGCATGGGATCATCCAAGGTTGCCTTCGACAAAGGATAAGATATTGGAGTTGCTTCATGGATTTGTGAACCAGTTTCTTTCTGGGGGATACAATGGTATGATTTTCCAGAATAAATTGTATCATTTGCAACATATATTTTTCTTCTTTGGGTTTCCATTTATAAAGCCAAAAGTAATGTCATTGTAATTTAAACATGTGTCAGTTTTGATGCGATCCATTCGTGAAGATATTGAAAAGGAGCATCCTGCAATTCAAAAAAGTGATGTTGTTGTTTTCTTTCAAGTGGCTGAATTTGTCACTTCATTTCAGTTTTACAAGTGTTCAGCTTCTAAGGTGAGAATGATAATATAAAAACCACATGTCTTGGCATGCTTTTTTCTTTCCTCTTTCAAACTGAAATTTACTTAACATTGGCCATCGATTAGAGGTATTAAATGCAATTTCTTTGGATATCCATGGGCTGGATCAAGAAGCATTCCTGATTCATCTAAATATTGGAACTTGATATAGATTCTCCACACATATTGGGTTGTTTCCTAATTACTTAGCATTTATCAATATGCAAGCGTAATGAATTATTGAATTTCTGATTTTTTTATTCAAGTAGGTGAAATTCTCATAGCTTGTTGAAGCAAACTTTTCACATGATGATTGTTTATAGGCCTTACAGTTTCTGACACAATGCGGTTATCAATAAGTGTATGGTGGAGGATAATAAATAAATCACTCCCCATCAAATTCCGACTAGCGAGAGTATCGCTTGGTGCTTTATTCGTAAATAGCATGCCTGTCATTTGTCACCGTACATTTGTGAAAAGATGTTATTCATACATATGTTCTCTTCTCTTCTTTATTAGATCAAGGAGGGAGGGGACACATTTGAGACTTTTAGTGATAAAGATGCTGATACCTCAGATTTTAGTGGTCAAATATGTGGCCCAATTGCAGCGTCCTTGAATGAGTCAATGTTTCAGTTAGTCATTTCAAAGTGGCGGCATGCCTATGATTGTCTAAAGGAAACAAATGACTACAAGTTTCTATCTGCAGCAGGTTCACTTTTGAAAAACATGGTAATGTGCACTACCAAATCTTAATAATATGTTTTACTATGTTTTATTATTATTAGTATTTTTTTGGCATCATGTATGCTTACATTGTGGGATAGAAATTGACAACTTCCTGCATTTCATTCTTTTATATCTGTGCTATCATACATGTCTTACAGCTAGTTCAATTTTATAACATTTTTGCTTTGTCAATCCCTTTTCATTCAATTTTTTGTTTGCTTTCCATGTCTTTGAGTTTGCTGTATTATTGTTTTATTTAATTTACAAATTAGGGCATACCCTACTATATTAAGTTCAAAATAGGAATAACGACAAGAACTTCACTTTTATACATAACCTCATTAAATACTTCCTAATTGCCCTTTTCGTGATTTTGTAGATTCGCGTGCTGGATTTGATACTTATATTGTTGCCAGAAGACTCAAAGGAGCCGCAAACAGCGCGCATCCTTCTGTACAAGTTATTTTATGATCAGACAGAGGAAGGGATGACTCAATTCCTCCTGAATTTAATGAAAACGTTTGACACCCATAAACAACCCAAAAGGTTTTTTTTTTTTTTTTTGCATTCTCATGAACATATTCATTGTGTTTTTTTCATGTGTTAAACTCATACCCAGCCTTACAGACCTACAATAATTGAAAAGCTATTCAAGGACATCTATTGATCGATTACTAGTTATGGCAACTTAACTAATTGACACTATTCAATTTAAATATACTATGTGCACAATTGTTTGTCATGGAACCTATCCAATTGTTGTCATAATGTCATATACGAGTCCAATGATAGTAGTGATTTTTATACATATTTTTGTTGTGTGAGTGTGTGTTTGTCTAACTGTTCTTTCCTTGCTGCCATATTTATGATTGTTGTTTATTCTCAGTGATCTTGCAGATTTGGTGGAAATCATTCATAAGGTTGTAAAGATGATGAATAATCTGCAGTCTCGAGGAGCATTGAGGGTAAGCTGAGATTATGTTTTTGTGTGTCTATAAATATACAATTGTCGAGTGTTGATTAAATCTTCGAATAAAGTACAGGGATCTATAACAAGGAAATATGCCTGATACCACTTGGCCACATAAATTATCAATTCAACTTCATAAGCACTACACTACATGTTCACAGTGATTTAAACTTCACTCTTAAAGTAATAACTTTGCTTCCATTGACTTTGTTCGAGATATAATAAAGCCATTCTTGAGCCTTCAATAATAGCTAAAGCTTTTAGGAGAGTTGACGCTTAACATTAATACCATAGTAAGCATAAAGATGTAAAACTAAAAAAAAATCTTAGTATTCACTTTTTAATTACCGCCTTTGAAATTTATGTACATGGTTTTGCCATCTTTGGCACAGAGCTTATTGTCCGATAATTTAACAGTTTCTCATCCTTTTCTTTATTTTATATCTTATAATTTCAAGGTGTCCAGAAAATCAAGGAAAGTGAAAAAGAAGAAGTTTCCGGAAGGAACAGAATCAGAGGGAAAACCAACTGGAGATCCTTCCTGCATTCAAAATGAAGCTGGCATCTCTATTGGCAATCAATTAGCAGAAAACCAGCCACTGCAGAAGGAATGCCTACCTAATGCAAATTGCACCAGGGAAGATGTTGTTGCCCCTGATGATAATGAACATGAAAATAATGTTGAGGAAGATAGGAACTCGCAAGTTGGTTTGGAGCTAATGGAAAACACAAATTCTGGACATGCTAATGAGGATATGTTGGGTGGCACTGTTGATATTTCAGAAGATGAGCAATTAAATGCAATTAATGAAGTTGATTTCAAGGTTTCAACCCTAATATCAGCCTTTGCAAATCACAATATAATTCAGAAATTATGTTGGTTGCTCAAGTTTTATAAGAGCAATTCCCTTGCTACAAATCATTACATAATAAATATTTTCCGGAGAATAAGCGATGATCTTGAACTCCATCCTATGTTTTACCAGGTTAAGTCTGGAAGCATTTCACCTTCAATGAGATTGTGTAGTTGTTTATGAATGTGAATAACATTTCTCAATCGTGTTAACGTATTCTTGCAGTTGTCTTTGTTCACGACTTTTTATGAAATCCTGGCTGAACAAAAGTCTTGCCCCTGCAAGGAATATGCAGATATAGTTGATTTCCTGACCACTTTGGTCAGAAAGATGCTAAAGAAAATGAAAAAGCAACCCCTCCTATTTGTGGAAGTCCTTTTCTGGAAGACCCGAAGGGAATGCCATTACATCAATGCTGAATATTTGTTGGATGAGCTTGGTAATTTGAAGAAAGAAAGTATAAATTGGAATAATCCTCAAGGAGATGGAGAAATTGGTTCATCCCCAGTGAAGGCGTGGACTCGTAGAAGCATAGCTGATGCACTAGGTGAGGATGAAGCTGATGTTGTGATCACTCATGGCTCAGGATATCAAAAGTAAGATGAAATTCTCAATTTGCTTGTAAGCTTCTTATGTAAGCTTTTCTACTTTCTATGGCTTTTGGGAAAATTTTGGCGACACTGAGATAACCATTTTTAGATTGTGGGACCAATTTTCAAGTTATGCTTGATTGATTAATATTTATATTTTATCAGATGATTAGCTTCAATGTTTTCTTTCTTTCAGCAATAGAGAAAAGTTTGATGGTGTTATTGAAGGCTTTGCATCTACCTCAGGCAGTAATAATGGCAATGATAATAAGTACGCTTACTACTGAGATCAAAGTTTACTTGAGATTTTATAGTTTCTGATACTTGGTTCATTTGGAAATGCAGTGGGGAGCAACTGATGGAAGATGAATCTCGAATAGCTCCAAGGAGAAAGAAAAAACTTATTCTTGATGGTGAATTGGAGAGACAAATTAAGGATCTCTATGAGAAGTAGGTTTAACCTGATCAAACTTCGTTGTCTGAACTTTGGAACATGGTTTAAATTAGAGCCTTGACAATAAGCAATTTAGCTTTTTATTTTGCACCATTGGTGTTAACATACTTAAAGGAGTAAGCATGATAAATTGATTCAGAGCTTTTCAATTTTTTGTTTTTGTCTTGCTTATTAGATTAGCCTTTGTTTTCATCATTGTTTCTTCCTTGCTTCGAATATTTCAGATTCAAAGATGACCGACATTGCAGTCTCCGTATTGCTGAAGTGCTAGATCCAGATGGTAAAATTTCACCGGCTCAAGTGTCCAATCAGTTAAAAAAATTAGGACTAAGAGTTGCACCAAGGAAAAAGATGGGTGATGCTGACGAACCTTTTTTGACTAGCCCTAATCAATTAGTGGGTGATGGAATAGCAGAAGGAGTTACTGATCATAAATCAGAGAATTTGGAGGGAAGCCTGTTGGTTCAGCATGTGTAAGTTTATATTGAACTTTTGTGCTTATTAAGTATTACTGGTGTTTTTTTCCCCATAAAATTTATGTTTCCTTCTGCATATAAAAGGTTTTGTAATCATTGTTAGTCCTAATTCAACAAATTTTTATACTGTTGATGTATTAAATATGTTTAGCTCTTCTCTGAGTTTGTGTTCAATTTCATATTTACAGGCAGAAAAGAAAAAGAGTACGTGCTTTCAATAAAGATCAGGAAGCTCTGATCAAAGTTCTATATGAGCAGTGAGTGTCACTTGGTTGCTTGGTGGAAGATTGCATTTGATCTCTGTGTTCTCTTCTTGATGAATGCTGAATGGATAGTTAAATAAGAATATCCTAGGTTTTCTGAATTTTCTTATTTTGCACACAGTGACAAGTAAAAGAAGAATTATAGCTTTTGCTTTTCTGATAATATCTGGGCTGTTACTTTTGCAGATTTAAGGACCATAGAAGATGTAGTTACATGATAGCCAATGCACTGGATGTGGATGGTAAAATCACTCCTGCTATAGTCTCTCGAAAACTTAAGCAGCTTGGCTTATCTGTTCCTCAAAAGAAGAGTTTTGGAGGCAAAATGCACTCAACGGGTGAGGATCTCATGGATTGTTCAAAAGATAGAATGAATGAATCTGATGATGAGACACTGATATCATTAATAGAAAGGTAATGTCGTGTTCTCTGTAGCAATGTTATTAGAACCGGACCGGTCATTGACCCGGTCTAGGTACCGGGTCACTGGGTCAATGGTTCAACCGGTGGGTCACTGGTTGAACCGCATGAACCGGATATATATATATAAATTTATATTTTATACTTAATTATATAATAAATATATTAAATGGTGCCATCTACACAATAACCTGTTGTAGTTTAGTGGTATTTGCTATGTTGTTTATCCTTAATGCAAGGGGTTCGAACCCCATTACATGCAGTTTTTGAAATAATTCTCTTAACTTAAAAGTTATATGATAAATATATTAAATGGTATAAATTATTCAACAAGTGATGGTGGCGTAGTGGTAGGAAACGGCTCTCTTTACTCCAAGGTAGTGTGTTCGAATCTCACTTGCTGCAAAAAAAGATTTTGTAACTAATTTTGAAAAACCGGTTTGAAGGGCAAACCGGTACCGGTTTACCGGTCGGACCGCGGTTTATGACCGGGTCACTGGGTCAATGCCGGGTCGATTACTTAAGCGGTCCAATGTTATAACCGGACCGGTTGATGGACCGGTTTCCGGGTCAACCGGTCGGACCGGCCGGGCCGGTCCGGTTTTAATAACACTGCTCTGTAGTACTATACAAAGCTGATACATTAATACTTCCGTCTATGAGCAAAATTATGTTCACTTATCCGTATATATAACTTCTTGCAAAACACCGTATGGCCATTCTTTTAATAGCGATTGTTTAAAATTTTATACATAAATTTGCGAATTAGCTGAATTTCAATACTTGGTTGATTGACCATTTTGTCCATGTTTTAAATTGTTTTTAATCAATGTCTTTCTTCCCAAACTATATACCAACTTGGCCCTATTTGAGCAAAGTTTGACCGACAATCGAGTAAATGACTTACTAAGGACTAGTGTTTGGTTAAATTTTGGTACAACAGGGACAAATTGGTATATAGTTTGAGAAGAGGGGTAGGTTGGTATATAATTTGACAAGAGGGGCAAAGTGATAAAGAAATTTAAAATAACAACAAAATGGTCAATCAATCTCAATACTTTGTCAAATACTACTTTATTGTGCTGCCCAGCTGGATGAGTCTTTCCTATTATCTCCTCACTTTAACCATTGTTTAATGTATATTTAATTTTAGGAAAAAAATGGAGAATAGCAAAATATCTAGGGAACATTTACAGGAAAAGACCGGGGCGGATAAATTGTCAAAAGATGATTGTGATGATGAAATGCTCAGCTCTGTTCTCAAGTAATGTCCCTCTCACTTTCCTTGTCTAGGACTGAGTTTTTTTTGAGGTAGTTACCTAGGACTATGAGTTTACATAAGACCATAAATGTTTATATCAGGAATTTAGCTTGAAAAATATGATGGACTTGTCTCGTATATCCAGAGTTTATTTTATTTGGAATTAACTATCGTTTATTTAATTCAGGAAAAAAATTAATAGCAAAGTATCAAGTGAACAATTACATGAACACACCAGTGAGGATACATTATCAAGAGATGATTCTGATGATGAAATGCTCAGCTCTGCTGTCAAGTAAATATTTCATTCTTTCACTTTTATTTTCTAGCATATTACTGATCATTGATAGGATCATGAATTTAGTTTGAGCTGTTGATTCTTCCTGCTTCTCCTTCTCTGCTCCGACTGGAAAAATATGACAGTTGATTCTTCCTTTTCTACATGTTTACTCTTTTGCAATTAAAATAATCATATTCTGCTGTTTACTTCATTCCCTTCGTAACTCCGAATCAACAGAATGTGCTCTTATTATACCTTTTTATATTATAACATTATGTTGTATTTAAGGTGGCAGTGTGAAGTTATTTCTATTAGGCCTTTATCCAATTCTGGTGATTTGCGTTATCCACAATCACTTCTTGACTCAATGGGGATAAAACTGGTCAATTCATTGGGTAAGAAGATAAAGGTGGCTTTCTCACCAAAAACCTATGGTACGAAGAAGAATAAGGAAGAAAAACGGAACTTCAAAGATTGGTAACAAGAGTAAATTATGGAGGGCATAAAGGATTTAGAAGGCTTAATTAGGTTCTTTTTTTTGAAGGTTTGAAGCCATCTTCTTTGTTGAAGCAAAAGGATTATTGTTTTGTGTCTAATTTTGTTTTAGTTCTTCCCTTTAGTTGCGGGTGCTTTGTCGAGGGGAACCCTCGGTGGGTTCTGGGGCAATTGTTGTGGTGGTTACTTTTTCTGTTTTCTCCTTCGTATGTGTCTGTTTTGTGGTTTCCTATGAGGGTTTTACTTATTGTTTTCCGTCGGCTTTGTGGTTTCTTTTGGCGGATGCCTTATCATTTCTTGAATTATTTCTTTTCATACAAGAATAATGTTATTCGTAAGTGTCAATTTTATGTGCTTGGTTGGTGCATGATAGACCTCCCAATCCCATAACTACGGTGTATCTTATATGGAATAAGGGATAAATCAGGGGATCAAGGCCCCGAGAGTAGTGAAGGAAGAAATGAGGAAACCAGGGGGAATATTCATTGTAGGGATTTGGAGTATAGCCGAATGGGCATGCGAAAGAGAGGTAGTGAGGACTGCAATGAGAGGTTTGCAAGATTTGAGTGAGGCTTTGGGTAGGAGGAAGCAGATCCTCGAAATGGTCCATATTTTGATGAATGGTAGCTTGATGGACCATTTTGACATTCCTTTAAATTTTCCAAGAATTTATTTGATGTAAATTGGAGACCAAATTTATGTCGAGTGAATCTTTGGAGGGCTAAATTAGTAGTTTAGTCTTGTATTATTATTTAATGTGAAATCTGGTTATAATGTTAGTTAAGTTAGTATGCAAGGAAAGTTTCCTTTTTTCATTTCTTAAAATTAATAATCCATTGCCTATGACTTTTATCTCTTGTGATTTGAGTTGGAGTCGTCGAGTGACGGCACCATTCGTACCAGATTTAATTTTCTTTGTAACTATTTTTTGGGTACTATTTCTGCATGTAGGAGAACTAGGAGATCCCTTGGTAAATCAAAGCATGATAAGCTTGAAACCATCCAAATTCAGGAGAGAATAATGGACAATGGTTCTTTTAATGGAGGCATAAAAGAGGTATCGGAAAGGTATGCCTTTTAAGACTTTAAGTGCAGTATCGTTTTATTTTTGGCAATAGACTTATAGCACACATTTACCACCTAATGGGAAAAGACTCTTCTTGTAATAGCACACTTTTACTAGTTTGATTATTTAGGCCCACAATTGTAGAGTTCTAAAGTTCCTGGATATTTTAGTCTATATGTTGAAGCATAAGTTGTATAAACATTTATAGTTCTTCACATGTAAATAAGAATCAAGTCATGCATCTGCTAAACTAACAACAATCGGCTTTATAGAAATGAAGACTAATCTACTTGTTTCCTATTCAACAGTTTGTCTGTACAGAACAAAGGTTTTATTACTGCTTTTTTTGTTTAATTGTAGTGGGGTTAAGTAAATTGTGTCTGAATAAGATGGCTTAGTTTGGTATAATATGCTGTCAGTATTTTCATAGATGACATTACATAACACAATATATTCTGTACAGAAATGTGGAATTAACAATATATGGATACAGTTTATCTGAGTTTTTTTTTATTTTTTAAGCTGATTACTTTAGTGGTTGAATTAATGGAACTGGCAGTGAAAATCGGGTAGGTTTCATGAACTCGTACCGAGTAGAATATCAGCAAGTGGATAATGACTTGGTAGATTCAGAAGATGAAGTGGCTGTTAGTGCATTTCCTGACAATGCTGTATCCAGAAGGAAGCTGAGAATGGTGATTGATCCTGAGGATGATGACTGAGGGGGAAGATTGATTGGGTCTGGGTTTCTTTTCTACTTGATTGTTTGCTTTCAATTTCTGCAAATATTATCTACTAAACTGATTATTTAATGATTGGATCCATCTGTGTATACTCATTCTGATTGTCAATGCTAAAACAGCAGAACAACCCTGTAAAAGTCATTTCTTCATTTCAGTAGCGTAGATGTATGGAAACTTATTCGTGGAATTAGTCTTCTTTCTAGTAAACTTTACTTTTTAGGAATGTCATTACAAGAAGCTTTGCACATACACATTTTGGCCTTTGATGCAGTAGCTATATATAATACTGCATAGCCTCTTCCAAATTTCTGTTGGTATGTTGTGAGATATTGAGGCATTATATCCTAATTAATTGCCAACCTGAGGATGCAATCGCATTGCTGTGTGGAAATTGCTAGTAGAATGATGGATTTTCATATGTCCCACACCATAACGTGGGTTCATTAACGAAATAGGTAACTGGTTTGTTCTCGGTATCAAATGGCCGCCGCTCTGTCACTTTAATCGAGAGTTGGGTACCAAGTAAAAAAATGCTGTTACCAAAGGTTTCTCCAAGTTCTACTTTCCAAGTCAAATACCTTTCTCATGTACTGACCATTTTGCAATTACCATCAAAATTGCCTCATTTTATGAATTGAGAATTATAAAATTCTAAAGAAATATCCGCCTTTCTTTTTCTGTTGTTATACTTGAGCATAAATCCAATTTATCAACCTAAACTCTGGTGGGTTATTCTTTCCAATTAAATCTGCCTATTGCTTAAGACCCGACTTTCTGTGGTGATATGGTTTCCTTCCTCTCTGTTTACTTACTCGTTTTGTTGCTAATATTTGCCATAACATTGGTGCTTTGCAAAAGCAGTTTCAAGGTCCCCAGCAAAATAAATAAATAATAATAATAATAATAATAGTAAAATAATAATAATAAAAAAATCACTAATACATACTCCAAAACTTAAAACAATGAATTGTAGATCCATCAACCGTCCTATCGTCGTGTCGTGGTTGAGTGAATAAGATTGCTCCCAAGTGGATGAGTTCGGTGTTAAACAGCACAGGAAAAGTCACAAATCAAAGAAAAGTTCAAGTCATGCTTTTTTTGCCAACTGAATCTTGGACTCATTCTTGGTTCGGAACCATTGGGCCGTAATCAGATTACTCTCCATTTTTTTGGGTACATTCATACATGGGATATTTGCGCTAGTAGAAAGATGAATAAACAAAGTCTAGCTGTCATCTTCGAAATTAATTCTAACAAAAATGAAGAAAGTTAAACTCAAGCTGATTGGCCTTATCCTTGTGATGGAGGGTAATATGCGTGATCTTTACGCTAGTAGAAAGTGTAATTAAACGTAAACTTTCGAATTTAGTTCACGTCAAAATTGAAATAAATACCCCAACTATGTTGATTGAGGAAAACAAACATATATAAATCTGATGTGGGTGTAAGTATTGAATGTCAATATCAAAGTGTATATATAATATAAATCAAAAGGGAAGCACCTGAACATAGGTATGATTTTTGCGTAAGAAGAACGGTCAATAAATGACGTCTAGATATCATTTTCAAATATAATCCAAACAAAAACCTAAAGAAAGTATAACTCACGCTATGCCTAAGATGGAGGGGAACACACGTAATCTTTTTTTTTTTTTTTTTTTTTTTTTTTTTTGTTTTGAAAATTGATCTTAATTACTTTTTTGAGGTGAATCAGAACTATTTCCATAGATTCGACTCTGTGAGCCGCCTATGGGACTAATCCAGAGTTCGGGTGCGAGTCCAAAGATTACGATACTTGTACTCCTCTCGAGATGGTGTTGGTGGGATTCGAACCGAGGTCCTCTCCCATCACTCAGTCTCATGCTACCAACCGAGCCACCACACTTGGGTAACAAACGTAATCTTTATTCACATAGAAAGTTCAATGAGACGTAAATATAACTTTAGAATTTAGCTCAAGTAAAAATTGAAATAAATACGCTTGATTGAAGTAATCCTGGAATAGAAGCCAGAGGGACATTGTTATAATAGCCCTAACTCAATTAATTAGCAAATTACATGCAATTAAATAATTAAGTATGTTTTAGTGAGTAAAATTAAGTATAAGGCTTAATTAAATGAATCTGAGTCACTTTGAAGTTAAAAAGTGTACTCAGTGAAAATTAAAGGGTATAAATGGGTACTGGCGAAAGTGCCCAAAATATAAAAATATAAATATAAATATTCCTAGAATAATATTCCAGAATTTTGGGTAAAGTTTGGTAATTAATGGAGTTGAATAGATAGACGAACCAATACCCGCTTAAAGTCACTTAACCTATGTTAGGTGACTAAGACACCAAAAAGAGAACCCATTTTCCACCCATTCCCGTCGACAGCCAGAGAGAAGGAAGGGAAGAAAGGAAAAGAGAGAGAAGAGGGAAGGAGAAGAAGGAAGGGAGGAAGAGCAATCCTCCACCGATTGGAGTGATTCAAAAGCCTAAACCACTCTAAATCTTTCCCTCTTTCATAATCTAAGCTTAGTTTTGAGTGGGGAGCATTGTGGAGTGAGATATTGCCTCTCAAAAATTCGGCCCTTTGGAGAAATTGAGGTGTTTGAGAGCTTCAACCTCCATTGAAGCTTGAGGAGCCATCAATCCTTGGTTGTGCAACCATTGGTGGTAAGATTCTACCCCTTGAACCTTATTTTCATGGAAAATTGCATGAGTTAAGGTTCAATGAATAGTAAATTGGGGTTTGTGATGAAATGTTGTTAAATTAGCTATGTTCTAGGAAGAATGGAGCTTAGAGCATGTTGTGAAAAATGCTAGGAACGACATTTAATCGGTGAAAATGAGCTTAGATAGCTAAATGAGTATATTGGGAAAATGGCAAGAATATGACACTTAGGGATTTCTTGCATTGTTAATAAATGGTTTGTTTTGGTTGGTTGTTGATTATGCCTTGGTGTTGTCTAAGATTGAGGCAATTGGACCAACCTTGAGAGACCAACCATTGGAGCAAGCTATGGAGCTTGATTAGCTCCATTGGATAGGTAAGTTCATGCTTATGTTTGGTATGAATTGTATAGTTTGGTTGATAGCTATGAGATGTTATTGGATGCAATATGTGTTAATTGCATTAAACCTTGTGTAGGTTTTGTTTGAGAAGAATGATTATTGTAATTGACTGCTGAAACTGTTGGTGAAGAACAAAGGTTGACTGAAGCATTGAGGTAAGCCTTCGAACCTTCGGTGTAATTCCCTTGACTGTTCCACCAAGCCCTGAAAGGGTAGAGGTTGTGATTGTGTATATAAATGCAATAAAATAGTGTAATGCTTTGTTATACGTATGTGTATGGATTTGGTGTGGCATAGGATGATGTTTCCCTATGTTGGTATGTTGCATGACGATGCGTAAATCATACTTGGTAGTAGCTGGCCAGTAGGACTATTTGCATCTGAGTTTCCTTAGGACAACTTGAGAGCTCGAGGGATTTCTCCTGGAGATGTTATTACACTTTGCATAGATATGTATTTACTGCATTATTATTGTCATTGCTATTACACTGATATGGAACTGTGGGGTGGAGAGATGCTCCAAGGATCCCTGGTTTACTGGATATATTCGTATATCTCACCCCGTGTTGTGGGGACCCCCTTTCAGGTAAGGATGCTGTAGGAGCCTTTGGTGGCAAGTGACCATATCTGGATTAGCATATGCATGAAGTGTTGCATTTTTTTGAGATTATACATGTTGTTTTGTAGCTCACATGTATACAATTGTAATGATAGGCAAAGATAGATTTATGATTGGTATATTGGAATGGACTTAGCCTATGCTCATGCCTTTGGTCATCTCTTTTGTTGATGGTAGCCAAGGGAATGATCATAATGTTTGTAAGCTAAGTTCCATGATTTGTAATGAATATGTACTGTAAATGATGCCTACTTGAAATTCAATATATGCATGCTTTTATGTATTGAGTTATTGAATTGGTTGGGTTGAGAAATTATATTAGGTACCTAGTTCTAATTTGGGAATGGTTGAGGAAACAAAGGTTATGCTGCCCAAATTTTGGTACAAGCCATGAGGAAAAGGGCATGCATGTCCCTTTAGATGTATTTGTATTATGCAAGAACTAAGAACCACTTATGGAGAGGAATTTATATGATAGATTTGGACTGTGGTGTATGTATGGAAGTTGTAGATATTTTCTTAACTTTCCATAGAGACCAATATTGTGTAATTTGGACAAGTACAACTCTAGTTAGAGGTAAAATACTAAGACTTGGTGAAACCTTCAGAACTCTGGCGCACTTGGCGCCAACCATGGCGTACATCGCGCCATTGTGCTCGAAAGCTTCTGTTTCGTGGCGCACATCGCGCCGGTGTTGGCGCAAATTGCGCCGGGAGCTTATGTTTCGTTGGCGCCCTCCGCGCCACAGCTGGCGCCAGTCGCGCCGGGATCAGCAGGATTCGCGCACGCGTTTCGTAGAAAACCCATAACTTGGGCTACAGTGCTCCGATTTGAGCGCGGTTTGAACCCACGCGTAGCTAACGAAGAGATCTACAATATAGTAGAAGTTGTGAAATAAATAAGAAGTAGATTAATGGTTTAAAAATGGAATAAGAACATGATGTTAAGTTTGGTTTATTTGATTTCGCAAGGTAATATGGTTATGATCACGCAATTGGGCATTATCAATTCGGCATGTTTTAAAATGAAAAATTTAACCGGATTTTAATTGAACCCATGTGATTGTAACTGCGCTTAATATCATAATTCGATATTAACAAACCGGTTCTAGAACAGGGTGTTACATATGTGAATGTGATAAGGGTGCAAGTTTTGATTGTCAATACCAACGCGTATATAAAATCAAACCACATGCAAACCTGCGTGTTGTGCGGGATATAAGTAAATTTTTCTCATTTTATATAGTAAACGAGCATTATATATTATTATTGAAAAAAATGTTCATCCTTTCAGTCACGTAATCGATACCCAATTGCTTACATAACAGCCAAAAGCTTTATGTATTATGCTTTTAACTCATGATATGGGCATTCGCGTTCAAGTAACAGTTTCTACAATTAATAAACTATTTTTTCGGTCATACAATGCTTATAAAAGTGTCACTTTCATCAAGAGAGTGCTAACATGGAAAAATGAGCTCTCTGTCATATCAAAGGTTTCTCCAAGTTCCACTTTTCACACCGCTTGTTGGCAATTAGCTTTGACTTGTACAGACGACTTTGAAATTAAATGGGAAAATGTTTTGGTGCTCAAGATCCTATCTCATTCTTTTATTCAGTGAGTGATATTTGTATAATCTTTTTTTTCTTCAATAATTATCTCATTCTGAATGATTTAGACTCCTGAATTAACGGTGAATCACCAAAATTCTTCTCAATTAAAAGATACACATCATAATTGCCTCATCAAAGAAGAAGGGTCCCAAGAAAATAAGAGCTTTCTATTACCAAAGTTTTCTCCAATTTTTCAACCCTTGTAATCAATCTGCTTTATCTTCTACAGACGACTTTGAAATTGCTGGATACACATGGAAATCACCACATCAGCGAGGGGTCTAAGGAGAAAACAGCACTCTGATTTTTATTTTTTATTAACGTACCCAAAACAAAAAGAAACTTACTTATTTTTATTTTAAGAGTAAACATCCTTTTTTGTCGCTGCAATATTTACGAAATCCTTTTTAGTTTCTGATAATAAAAAAGGACCAAATTGGTCTCTAAAATTATGAAAAAGGGCCACATTAGTCCTTATGTCAACTCCTCCGACACTAACGTGGCCCTTTTTTCATATTGTTAGAGACCAATTTGGTCCTTTTTTTATTGTCAGGGACTAAAAAAGATTTCGTAGATATTGCCAGGGACCAAAAAAATTGTTTACTCTTATTTTAATTATTTTCATAACATGATTAAATTAACTTTAATTAAAATAAAATATAGTTATCAAATTTAAAAATAAGTACCCCCTGTAGAAAGTAGAAACTAAATATATTATCTTTAGTTTTATCTTTAAACTTTATTGTGTTATAAATTTAACATACAATATTATAATTAAAAATAATGATAATGATTAAACTAAAAACATATATGGATCAATTTATATACTTTCTTTTATAAAATTCAAATTAAAAATGAAAGTCACTTGTAAAGATAAAAGTATATTTGTTTTTTGTGATATATCTAGTTTGGATTCACATTATTTCACGTGAAAAAGTGGTAATACGATCATGTTATTTGATTACTCATTTAAATATTTTTTTTTTCTTTTATTTTATCGTCAATAAGTGATTGTGATCAAATAAAGGAATAGATGATCACTTTCTCACAAAGAATCCAAATTCATGCGTCAATGAGAAGCACAATCAACTCCAATTATTCAATTTAATTTAATTAGATATCGCGCCCGCACATTTTAGAACACTTATTGGTTTGGAAGATAACACTTTTTTTATTTTATTTTCTTAATACAAGAAATGAAAAAGTTGTCCCAATATAAAGTCCACCAATAAAAATCAAGCCTAATAATCCTAACCAGTGAATCCATCCTTTTAGTTTTATTTTTCCTTGAGTGGTGTTGCTGTACAGGAAAACGACATTGTTATCAAAAAAAAAAAAAAAAAAAACGACATATGCAACTTGAAGAACTCTTCTTTTGTAAAAAAAAATAAAAAAAATAAAAATAAAAACTCTTCTTTCATTTTTTGTTTGTTTGTTTGTTTCTGTTTAAAAAAAATAAAATAAAATCAAACCCAAGTATTAATCACGGCCAGTTTTTCGGAGGTTATATTCATTTGAGGGCAATGAAATACTTAACTGACGAGTCCGCAAAAGTTACTTAATTTTATTTTCAGAGTAAAAATAAAAAAAAATAAAAAAAATACATAGCACAAATGCTGAAACAGTGAATCTACCATTATGAATATAATCTAATCAGGACGTATTTAAGTTACAATATTATGGGAATAACTGTGATAGATAGCTAGAAAGGCGGAGAAAAATAATATCGTTCTTGAAAAATAAATAAATAAATCCAGAAAGTTCAAGTTCAAGGTAATCAAGAAGATAAAAGAAAATACAGAATGTTATCAAAAAAAAAAAAAAAAAAATACAGAAGACCACAACTTGCACTAGTTTTGAATTTTTTTTTCCATATGTTATAGTTTAAAATAACTTTTTTTTTGCATTACATGAGAATTGAACATACACCACTACACTGCATACACCTAACACACACCTCACACCATTAGGCTAATCCTAGTGGATCTAGTTTAAAATAACTTTACATTCAGGAATTAATATATATATTTTTTTAATTTATACAAAAAAAATATTAATATTTTAAAAATATTTAATTCTGATGGGCGTAAAATTTCTTTACACACACACTGCCAAATTAATCTTGTATTACAAAATTAAGGAAGAAGTTTAACCATCTTAACCAATAGAAGCTAAACTTTTGTTTACCGAAAAAAAAAAACCTTTTTATATCCCATTTTTTAAAAAAAAAATAAAAAAAACTTTGTTCTCTACTTTGGGACAGGATCCGTTTACAAACTTTTTTTGCAATTACAATAATGTAGGACCGGTCGTACACTGTGTGATTAATGTAGGACCGGTCCTACATAGTGTAGTTTGTAAGAGTTTATAAACAAAAAAATTTGTAAATATAACCTGCCTCCTCTACTTTATATAAACATATATGTGGACAATTTATTCAGTTAAAGGATTGTGATGTAACGTTGCTCCCATTACATACTTCTTGAGTAGCGTTGAATTTTCCAAGATGTCCACATTTATGGCAGGCTTACTTCAATCATATATTATAAATACTTCCGGGGGATGGTAATGCCTTCACATCCTCAATCCATCTTCTTGCATGATTATGGATACCTCTCCCTCCAATATTAGATTTGCTTTGCTTTGCTTGGTATGTATAATCATGTTCGACTCAGTTATGTGCAGTTCGAAAGTTCACTGCAACGAGAAAGACATGAACACACTCCTACACTTCAAACAAGGAGTCATAGATCCTTCAAGCATGCTTTCCTCTTGGTTCACTGAACAAGATTGTTGTCACTGGACAGGAGTTCAGTGTGACAATATCACAGGCAGAGTTACAGAACTCAATCTCCCTTGTCATACAAATCAATCTGTAGTCTTTGTTCTTGGAGAGGAGGACGACAAATCACACTGCTTAACAGGTGAATTAAATATTCTATCCTTATTGGAACTTGAATATTTAAGGTTCTTGAATTTGAGCAACAATGACTTCAAGGCTATCCAATATAACTCAATGGGTAGCCAGAAATGTGATGAGTTGTCAAGAGGTACAACTATCCATCAGTGTGGAAACTCCTCCAACCTCCATTATCTTGATTTATCATATAATTCTGATATTCTCATTCCTAATCTCCATTGGATTTTCCGTCTTTCCTCCTTGCAATATCTTAATCTCAGTGGTGTTGATCTTCACAAGGAAATTGATTGGCTTCAGTCAGTGGCCATGCTCCCTTCACTTTTAGAGTTACACTTGCATAGCTGTCAACTTGAAGATATCTATCCAAATCTTCAGGATGCTAATTTTACTTCACTTCAAGTTTTAGATCTTAGTGACAATCATTTTATATCTGATCTGCCTAGTTGGTTATTCAATTTTAGTTGTGACATATCTCATATTGACCTTGGCCAAAATCATATACATGGCCAAATATCTAGAATATTGTCAAACCGTGAAAGCATCAAATCTTTGATTTTGTCTAATAATAATCTGGATGGACCCATTCCAGATTGGATTGGGCAACTTGAACAACTACAAACACTTGATCTTTCTAATAATGCATTTTCTGGTTCAATTCCCCCAAATTTGGGAAATCTATCTTCCTTGATTGCATTGAAACTCGATTCAAATCACTTGATTGGAAATCTTC